TAAAGTTATGTGACGATCGCTTAGATTAGTAATTTAATTAGGATAATAATGTATAGGAATTTTTTGATTCTATCGGTTATAGTTTTGAAGCAATTATTAACATTTCAATAAAATGTTATTATAAGTGTTAAAATCGGTGTTAGCAAAGTAGTTTGTTATTTTTTTTTTTTTTTTTTTTTTTTTTTTTTTTGTTTTTGCATATTGTGCATTTACATAGGCACTGTAAATCCTATATTAAATTACATGGATCGTGTAATTGCTACATTTACACGGGTCTTGTAAAAATCATTTGTTGATTTACATAGACAAACTATCTGCTTTGCATAAACTTTGCAACTTCCTTGGTTTTTATTTATTTAACCTCTTGTTGCTTAAATGTAACGTTTCAAAATACTACTAAAAATTTTTATTTTTCAAAACACCAAAAAGGATAAAACAAATTGTTTTCAAAACCAAACAATGTATAAAGTATTCCTAAACATCATAGTAAATCATATAAATAGTGTATAATGAACTTATGGGATGTTGTTCATGCCAACTCTTTCTTTTAGAATCAAAAGTACTTGAAACATTTAAACCATAAAACCATAACCACAAAGTTTAGTGGGTTTCCCCAAATACCACATAACTATACATGCTCCACCCATAATATATTAGGCCCCACCCATTCATTCTATTAGTGTTTTTGCCACCCATTCATTCTATTAGTGTTTTTGGGTGTGAACCAAAAGAAGGATTCTGGTTTTGGTCCTTACATCCAAACAAGATGACAAAAGAGGGATTCTGGTTTTGGTCCTTATATCCAAACAAGATGACAAGAACAAGATCGCTAACTAGGAGATTGTTAGTGTAATACCCCAACTTTATAAAACTTTTACAAACTTAATTTTTATTACAAAAATACAACGATTAGCCATGTATACAAAATTTATTTTACTAAAGTCCATAAGTATTTATAATTTTTACAATATTTTGGTGTTTTACAAACCGAATACAAAACCATAGTTGAGCAGAATATCTTACATTAGGCCTCATACTTTTATTCTTTAAATATTATTTATTTTTCACCTGAAGGTTCTGAATCTGAGATATATGACATATAAAAATTTACGTAAGACAAATATGTCTAGTGAGTCACTTGGATTTTTGACACAATAATGTTCATATTCTTATTTGTAAATTTTTTTTCTTTAATTTGTATACATGCAATGCTATGCATGAAATGAATACAACAAGACAATGTACTGACATTTTATTTCGTTTATCCGTTTTGTCACCCTAGCATGACATACCACTCTAGCGTGGTATTTTCCCAAGATAGGAAGACAAATCAACCTATAATAACAAAATACATCTACTTCACGAATAGAGGTACCACCCCGACAAAGTCTTAATCCCTTTTTTGGGATTTTTGTCCGGACCTGTACTCAACTTTTATGCAGTCACATTCAATGTATGCATGAACACCACTTTTCTTTTAACTTCTCAAACACACAAATGCCATGATGCACTTTTATATAAATTTTTATATAAAAGTTATAATTATTTTTCCATATCTCATTTTTATAGGAATTATAATAAAAAATATGTCAAATCATGTATTATATACTAAATACTCCATATCTCATTTATATAACACTTACAATAAAAAATCTATCAAATCGTGTATTATATACCTAATACTCCATATCTCATTTATATAATAATTATAATAAAAAATTTGTCAAATCATGTACTATATACCAAATACTTCGTATCTCATTTATGTAACAATTATAATAAAAATATGTTGATTCATATATTATATACCAAATATTCAGATAACCTTGAAATTTTATTTTATTTAAATATAGTTGCCATATATCCCAAACAGGGAAAAATTCGTCAAGTACTCACCTGAGTAGTTAGGATTACTAACTATTTGTAACATTCAAGTTTCGATAAGTTTCTCTTTTAGCCTTTATGCAAATTTATTAACATTTGGTCCCCGGCTAGTACGCAGGGGGTACTCAATAATTACGCTTAACGTACAAGCCCATTTGATGATCTCGGGTTCCACCCACGTATGCAGGGCGTACGTGGAGTATGCGTGGTGTACGTAGTGCAGGGGAAAACCCTAATTTTTAGGGCTTACACCCTATTTAAGTGACTTAAACCTCTTCTTGGACCTTTATTGACCAACTTCCATCTCCCTTTACTTGGAAAATGAAACACTAACAGCTTTTGGTGAGATTTGAGCTTGAAAAGTGATTTGTTGGTGTTTTGTGGTGAAGAAGAAGAGAAACACTTAGAGGAGTAACTTGAGCTTGTAGATCCAGGATCACCTTCTCATTTGCAATATTTTTGTGGTAAAAAGTTCACACCTTGAATATCATTTGTGTTAGATCTACTTTATGGTGTTTCTTGGGCATTTTTGAGTCATTTGAAGTAAATATGAGCTTTTGATCTACTCTAGAAGCAATGGATGCTAGATCTTAGCTCCATTTAGGACTTATGTTAATAAAAATGCAAACTTTATGGATGTTTTTGGTTTATGCTAGTATTAAGACCTTTATTAATCTCTTTTTGAGCTTTGAGTCCCATTAAACCATGCATGAGTGTAAAGTTGCCAACTTTACATGATAAATCACCCTTTAGGACCAAATTTGAGAGTTTGGCTTGTTGTCTCAACCGATTAAGTGCTTAATGGAGTAGGTTGGAAATCTGGGGAGTATGTTGGGCGTACTCACCTCGAATGGAGTATGCTAAGCATACGAATTGAGTACGCCCTATGTACTCAGCAATTGGGCTTTTGGGCTTAGAAATCCTCGATATAGGTGTAATACCATAAATTTTCAAACAAATTATTTATTTTTAAAATCACATAATTCTCATAAACATAATCCACAAAACCCAGAGTGTCAAATGATCAAAAACACATGTCCATAATTGTTTGCATAAAAATCCAGGATCCTCAAAAACACAACTTCATCCTGTGTGTACAATCAAGTTGGCGCCTTCCTACGATCTTGAGAAGTACCTGAAACACATATCACGTAACACGGTATGCACAAAGCTTAGTAAGTTCCCCAGAATACCAAACATATCTCATTAGCTTCTCATGACTATTTCTCGAATAAGAGCCTCTGTTAAATGTGTCTCAGTAAACCCTCTGATCCCATAACTCGAGTAGACCCTCCGGTCCAAACTCAGTAAATCTCATAATAATACACAAAATAAATCACAAAGACATAATTCAAGACATCACAATACTCAATATAAACATACAAGACCCTCCGGTCACACAAAGTTACCACTCATGGTAACTATAGTGAGAAGACTCACCTCGTAAGTAAGCAAATAAACCTCGTACATGAATCACCGGTCTAGCCTCCGCCTAACATATATCATAATTATCTCTAATTAATGAACGACCCTCAAAGAAGCTAGGCCAAACCCACTACAAACTCATAGAAGGATAAAAGACCATTTTACCCTTCCATGGCCTCTATAGTCCATAATTTGACCAAACCCTAAAAGTCAACTGCAGCGCGTACGCTGGGTGTACAACCCTTTTATATTAGGCATACTACCTCGACGCTACACTGCACGTATCGGGATTACGCTCGGCGTACGTCCCAGACTTACTTTTCCCACTCCCTTGGTCTTAATCCGTTAAGACTATAGCTATACTCTCAGATTTTGACACCCTAAAGGCTCATACTCCATAAAGTTCGTGCCCTTGAGCCTTTGCATGGCTGAGCAAGTCCCATACACAAAAACTCTCACTCTTTACTCCAAAAAATGCTCATATCTCGTGCATGGGGTGGTTTTAACGTCAAAGTGTAACATCCCAAAAACACAACCTGAAAATTTCGTTTAATTTAATAATAAAAACCATAGTCAATAAACCTCATATAAAAATCGTAAACAATGTATCTCAAAATATTATAACAAATGTCAAGTATGTCAGAGTATACACATCCCAGGCTGAACAAATGGTGTGTGCATTGCCATCTTCCCGAGCTCCTCTTTTGAAAACTGAGTACCTGAAACCAAAACTGAAACTGTAAGCAAGAAGCTTAGTGAGCTCCCCCAAACTACCACAAACCATACAATAGCATATAAAGCACATACTGGGCCTTGCCCACTGCATCAGACAGAAGTCCGAAAACTGCATAGGACTGAAGTTCGGAACTAACCAGGGCCTTGCCCTCTGCATCGGACCGGAGTCCAGAAACTGCATTGGACCAAAGTCCGGAACTGACTGGGACCTTGTCCCTTACATCGGACCAAAGTCCAGAACTAACTGCATCGGACCGAAATCCGGAACTGACTGGGACCTTATCCCCTGCATCGGACCGATGTCCGGGAACTGACTGAGCATAACATAGCATAGCATAAACATATCAACTAGCATGAACCCATAAACTACTTACTGCATCGGGCCGTAGCACGGAACACATAACACATAAATCCTCTCTGAGTCACGAAGGCATCAAACATACTAACTACTGCATCAAGTTGAAGTCCGGGAACTACTGCTAGCTAAATGGGTCGGCATTGTGGCCTTAGACTTGTTCCTACTGGAAGGAAACTCACCT